CAACCACCGCACCTCCAACTACTACACGGGCAACCACCACAGCTCCAAGGACTACAGCGACTACCACCACCAGACGACCATCCACAACTGCAACTACTAGACCAACTATGACTACTGCACCACTGAAGACGACTTCACCAACAGCAACTTCTACGATGCAAGCCAGCAGTGAGATGACCACCTCACAAATGTCCCTCCTTTCACCATCTACTCCACTTCACCTCCTCACCTCCCTCCTTCTCTTCATCGCCTCCGCTGTGCTTCTCTAATCCCCACCGCATTTCACTTCTCTTGCACATTTTACTTCCTATTTTTCTATTCTTGTCATTTGGTTCGGCTCCATTTATCCCATAAAGATTTACTCATTACTCATTATTTGCTTCACTGCATGGAGATAGCACGGTGGCAGTACAACCGCAATTGGCATTTATTGAGATACTCCACATTATGAAGCAGGTGAATTCATTTGTCAGGTGGCATTCATGCCGTTTAGTTAATGGCCAAGTGAAGACTGCTAGTGCACAATAGGAACGAGTACGTCTGACAGCCTCATCTCGGCAGTTCCTTTGCTGTAGTGACTTCCCACTGCTTCACTGTACAGACACCCACACTGCAATCGGAATGGTAGAAAGCAATGTGAACCGAAGTGCACAACTGTCCTTGCAATTTGTCAGGTGTGTGCGTGCCCCAATTGTTTAGTGGTACAAGATGTTGAAATATGCTCACTGAATGCAAGTAGTGGCTTGTGTGTTGAAGCACAAAGAAATGGAACGCGGATGGTGGATGCTGGTGGATGCTCAGTCGTGTGTGGGATAGTGTAGCCAAGTGCACAGCATTTGGGGTTGTAGTTTGGGCCATTCAATATTGAGACGTGTTGTGAGAGGAAGGTTTCCAGAGAATGATGAATTTGAAGAAGAATGTGGTAGCATTTGTTCGTGGAGAGTGGCGCAAAGTGTATGATTCACTGGTGGACCTTAAAATGGGGAAGTCACTGAATGCACAGTGGGAAGCACCACTTTCGTAATTTTCTACTACGTGGCTGGGGTCTTCATATTTCCATTACTCAAATGACGAAACGCAACAAATTCAGATGGAATGGGCTAAATTTGTACCCTTTTGTTTCCATTGAATGACCTGGTAGCTGCTTGAATGTGGTGGCACCTATCAAGCTTTAGCAAAGTGGATGGTGGCTCAGTTAGGTGATGTGGTGTCCCTACTTGAGAATTCGCCATAACCTCGCAATATAGTGTGTTCACATCAATCGACAATATCACGCTGTATGACGAGGAAACAATTGGGTAGTCTTGCACGATGTTGAATGCGAGCAGCATGAACAGGGGAAT